GCAGTTCATCTCCACCCAGAGCCCTTTAGAAGGCAGAGACCCACATCTCTCATGTGGGGATCTCAGTGCGAGTGCGAGAGATCCGCTCCAACTCGCAGTTTGCTAAGTTTGTTGAAATGGTTAAAAGCCAAGCTCATAACCGGAACAAAGTCCTCGTGCGGTCTTAATTCGGTGTTTCTGAGACCTGTCCTGGTACAGCCAGCCACGTCGTCCAAAATATTCTTCGATTACCAAAGCCGCAGTGATTTAGCAGTTTAGCAAAGATGGTAAATTATCCTAAGCCCCAGCACCCCTCCCCCCGGCAGAAAAAAGTGTGTGTGCCAGGCTTTACAAAAGCTAATGTGTCGAGCTGTTTTAACCTTTGCTAGCCTCCTCCCATGCAGAGGTGACAAGGTCCAGATCATAATATGTCCTTCAGTATCTTCCCAGTGACCCCCAAATTCAGTCTTCCTGGTCACTTAGCAGGAAGTTAGCAGTTTATTTTAGTTTCACCTTATCAGCTTGGTGTCTTTTCCTAACCTTATTCCCCTGTCACCCTCAGATGCCAGACCCCCAAAGGGGAAGATTGACAGGTAGTTCCCATAGCTCAGCTTTACCCTCAAACAACAGGGATTTAGTTTCTTGTGCCTTTGCCAATGTTTATGTAGTCAAAGTTGAGATCTCGCCTTAAGGAGTCTCTCTTTTTACGCGTCACTGGAATAGGAAAGCCACAAAGAAGTTTTTGAACAAAAACCCTTGCAACTGGAACCCCATCTAGCGTTCAGTTTGATTCATCCGAGGGGAAGACATTTTCCCCCAACACAGATTGTGTACGTTAGGTGGGCTTGTATCACTGTTTAAAAAGGCGTGTCTGGACCGTGTCGTTATTTTTTCCAGAGCCTTCGCTTGTAGTCTTCCACTCAAGGATCCACTAATCCCGGCCAGAACACGGAGGGAATTGAAGCGGGCCAGTAAATGTGTCATTTGGTTGCATATCACACAGAGGAAACTTCAGACATTACGGAGAATATACAGAGCATATGTGGCAGTGTTTAAAATTTCTGTGGCATCTTGAGCTGGACATTCAGGTGGAGGCTTTTCCCAGATCGGTACAGAACAATAATGATGATAATAAAAAGGTGAAAGACCAATCAGCCAGAAACGGTGCTGATGGCCTCTCCAAATGGGTCTCCGGGAAAGAACAGCCTGTTAAAATTATAGGCTCCACAATCCCAATCACGAGGGGTTCCATTAAAAACGTTAATGTGATCTTAAGGTAGTGGAAAGTAAAGGGAAGGATCTTTTCTGAAGAGCTCCAAAAAAGAAAACTAAATGTGGTAGAATAGGGTTGTTTTGTTTTGTTTTGTTTTGTTTTTTTCCTGGCTTGGCTAAACCTTGCCGTGTGGGGCATAGTTTTATTTTTGTTTTCACAGTAGACAGATACACTGGAACACTTCCATTTTCTGCCTCCTGTTCTGCAATGTTTGGTTGAGATGATGAAAACCTGACAAATTTGAATTGGGGGTCAAGTACCTAAATAGTACGAGAACTGAAACATCCGGGGTTTTAGCATAAACTGAATGGAGCTACAAGTTCACCCCCTTATCCTCTAAAAAAAAAAAAAATCCCAGAAAAATGCCAGAGATCTTTGTGTGTGTGCATACTCAGAAAACTACTACTTCTTAAATTTTTCCTTTGTGACTGGGATCATAAAATTAATTTGGATGCAAAACCCATAGAGAAGGAACTGGAATGTTATTTTCACCATAGCACAGGGAACAAGGCAACTGTATTTACTATAATGGGATCACCAGTTGCAATCCTGTGTAACAGATTATTGAGAAACAAGATAGCAGCCGGTCAGAAAAATGAATTGGAACACATTTGTGTGTGTGTGTGTGTGTGTGTGTGTGTGTGTGTGTGTGTGTGTGTCTTACAACTTAAAATACTCCTTTTGGTAGTTAAAGATTCAAACTAGTCCTCATGTTTTGTCTTTGTTGCTGTTGAGCGTCTTTGTTGGAGTTCAGTTCAGAATGCAGATACATTTAAAGTTAAGAGCTATTACAGTACAGCGACACCTGCTTTTGAAATAAATCAAAATAGATACCAGAATTTTTTTTTTTTTTTGGTGTTCATAAACATCCGGAAATTAAATTAGTTGACTCGGCAGTGGAATCACATGTCAGCTTATTAAAATGTTGTGAAAATCCAAGCTGAAACATAGGCAGCTTTTTAACACCGTCTTTCTTCGAAGCAAGCAGGCATATTTTTAAGCACCTCTATTTTCCGTCCAGTTAGCACGGCCCGAAATACAAAAATGTTCAGGTTGGAAAAACTTGAAAATTCTCAAGTGAGTCTTGAAGCAGCCCAAATGTAGAATTCAAGCCCAGGAAAGTAATAATCAGCGAAATCCTGTAAAGTAAGCTTCTTTTCATTTTGTCTATATATTATGAGAATATCAGATGTTTGCAAGTTATAAAGAATTAAAATGCCCTTTAATCGTGAACACAGATGTGCTAAATATTTGAAGGCAACTACATTGTAATGTGTACAATTGATGAAGTCAGTTTTCTGATTTCCCTTGCTAGTTATTTAGTCCTGAATCTGTCATTATTTGTCTAAGCCCAGCTGACCAAGCAAAACTGTGTTTTAAAGTGGCTTTATGTTTTGATAAATGTGAGCTGGTTGAAAAGTATTTTCCACTGAATGCAGAGCTTAATAGAACATGCTGACATAATAGTTTTAATGCATTTTGTTGAAAATGTGTGAACAAACAGAATAGCTTTTGTTCCTTCATAATTGGCTGTAAAAGTAGATGGAAACATAACCATTACATATGGAAATGTGCAAAGAGAAAGAAATAACATTTCTGTTGAATATATTAGGAATTGCATTTCCTAGTTTAAAATAAGCATCTGAAATGGATGCATCATTTAAAATTGGTTGTCAAAATAAGAAGCTTTAAACAGAATTTTTGTCACATTATTTTTGTCCCAAGTTAAGCGACGTAACTGCAGTGAATTTCCTTTAATATTTTGTTTACATTATTTTAAGGCAGGGAGAGAGACAGAAAGTGCTTAAAACAGCACCTTGAATGTGCACAGGAACCCGGTGCCAATTAAGATGATTAAACATTAAATTAAAACTGAATCATTATTGGTATTTTCTGCCACAGCCAAGATTTGTTTGGTATTGTTAGTGCATTTTGCTGCATACCCTTGTGGAGATTAAAAGATGGGTGTTGTTAGAAAAGCTAGCTTGTTGAGTATAACTTAGCTACTCAGATAACACTCACAGTGAATAAAGTGTGCCTGCATTTGGCATACTTCACCCGGGTTCCTCATCAACTCGGGCACCACGCAAGGCCAATAGAGTTAAAGGAATTTCCAGAAGTTAGTATTTAGGTATTAATTGTATTTTCCGGAATGCAAAACTACTGAAGCTTTTTAGGATGTTTACTACAAAGAGGCAAATGGCTGACCCTTAGGAGCTGCCTCCTACGTTTACCGAAGAAGCAACATTTTGAGTTGGTATTTATTCATATTTGCAATTAGTTTTTTTCTTTCCCCCCTGCAAGTTTTCTTGGGAGATTCAATTTGGAAGTCATGGAAACTAACTATTATCTGATTCAGTTCTGCAGAAAAGCATGCAGGGAGGTAATCCTTGAATTAAACAGTTTTTTTTTTTTTTTTTTCACAGCCTTCGGAGATGACCACACACCATTTGTACAACAGAAGTTGGTGTTCCCCATGCTGGGCAAACAATAAGGCTCCATCCTGTCTTTGAATAGGATGTTAGCTTGCCGTTGGAGATTTTTATGTTTAATTTACAAATGGATCTTAGTGAGAAGAAATCTGAGCAACCAGTGGAAACAAACATGAAATAAAGGGATTTTTATAATGAAAGGTTCAGGACAATCTGTTAAACAATTGATAACACCGAATAGCCAACTGTTTTTAAAGGCATTCAGACAAGGAGAATGGCACAGCATTTGCAAACTCGAAACCAAGAATTATTTCCTCCCTTCCCCTTAACTGCACATCCTTCTATAAGTTGATGTTGAATCAGAAATGTAAATCTTCTGCCAGTTTTTTATAGATACGGAGAGCACTCTTGATGAAATATTTAGAGGCATAACGTTGCCATTTGGAGCACAATGGCATATATAAGTTGAACGGTGGAGTGGTAGCCAGGGTTGCATTCTTTAATTTTAAAAATAAACATGCCACGGGGTGATATATGGGTGCCAGGCAGGCCTTGTAACGGATTATGATCACTGTGTTTCTCTTCGTTGTGTCTGTGTGTGTGTGTGTGTGTGCGTGCGTGTGCGCGTGTGTGCGCGTGCATGCGCGCTGCTTTCTTGTTTGTATTCAACTGAGTCTTGAGCAGCCTGGAGGATTTGTTACTGGTGTGGCTAAAGCGTGTTTGTCACGGGTAGGCCTCGGCTCAGGTTCTAGGTAGGGGCTGGAGGTGATTTTTAAGTTGTCAGCCCTCAGCTTGGTGATCCGCATTTCTCTCCCGTCCCTTGTCAACAACTGATTGGAATCTGAATGACTACAAATTAGTTTAGTGACAGAACAAACTGTCACAGATATCTCTGAATCAGTTGAAAATGAATAAGGTTGACAGAAACTCAAGAGCCTAATAAGTCCTCAGAATGGTTGCTGGACCCTCTCTGGATGAGTAGACAATAAGGTGTATAAAATATTGGAAATCAATAGTGGCCTATGGAATTGCATTATGCACTGATGTCTTCAGTTCGCAGTATTTTATATTTTGATGGATTATCTGAAGACCGTGGCTATCTGAGATGCCGGATGGATAGGGATTCCTCCACACCCCTAAGATTTAATTATGAACGTTCTTGGGTAGTATCGACTGCTTTTCCAGGGGCAAGAGTGTTGAGTTTGGAAGACAGAAAACAATGGATCAACCTCCCTCTTGTTGCGAAGGCGCGGGTGACCCTGTGTGGCCCGGCCCCCTTTCTAACCCTGCCCCTTTTGATGTTTGCAGGAGACGCAGAGAAAGGTCAACCAAATCGCACCACCAAGAGCAAGGACGCCCACGTGTGTGGCCGGTGCTGTGCCGAGTTCTTTGAGTTATCGGATCTTCTCCTCCACAAGAAGAACTGCACTAAAAATCAATTAGTTCTCATCGTCAATGAGAGCCCGGCCACCCCGCCCGACACCTTCACTCCCAGTCCCCCTCCCGACAACCCCGACGAACAAATGAATGACACCGTGAACAAAACGGATCAGGCCGACGGCGGCGACCTTCCGGAACACGGCGGATGCGACAGGGAAGAGTCCATGGAGGTGGAGGCCCCGGTGGCGGCTAACAGAGGTGGCGGTGGCGCCCTGGTGGGGGGCGGGAGCGGGGTCACCCCAGGCTGCAGCGGCGGCCCCTCCACAGGTACCTCAGCGATCACAACCTCTCTACCTCAACTCGGGGACCTGACGACACTGGGCAACTTCTCCGTGATCAACAGCAACGTCATCATCGAGAACCTGCAGAGCACCAAGGTGGCGGTGGCCCAGTTCTCGCAGGAGGCGAGGTGCGGCGGGGCCTCCGGAGGCAAGCCGGCCGTCCCGGCCCTCATGGAGCAGCTCCTCGCCCTGCAGCAACAGCAGATCCACCAGCTGCAACTGATCGAGCAGATCCGTCACCAAATATTGCTGTTGGCTTCTCAGAACGCAGACTTGCCAACATCTTCGAGTCCTTCTCAAGGTACTTTACGAACATCTGCCAACCCCTTGTCCACACTAAGCTCCCATTTATCTCAGCAGCTGGCGGCGGCAGCTGGATTGGCACAGAGCCTCGCCAGCCAGTCTGCCAACATCAGCGGTGTGAAACAGCTGCCCCCCCTCCAGCTACCTCAGAGCACTTCTGGCCACACCCTCCCACCCAACAGCGGCGCTTCCCCCAGCATTAACATCTTGGCGGCAGCGGTGACCACCCCGTCCTCGGAAAAAGCGGCTTCGAGCGCCGGCGCCTCCCACGCCAGCCACCCCGCAGCCTCGGCATCGTCGTCACCAGCTTTTGCAATAAGCAGTTTGTTAAATCCTGCGTCCAGTGCACTTCTACCTCAGCCGGCCCCCGCTAACTCGGTTTTCCCCAGCCCTTTGCCCAACATCGGAACGACTGCGGAGGACTTAAACCCCTTGTCCGCCTTGGCCCAGCAAAGAAAAAGCAAGCCACCAAATGTCACCGCCTTCGAAGCGAAAAGCGCTTCGGATGAGGCGTTCTTCAAACACAAGTGCAGGTTCTGCGCGAAGGTCTTCGGGAGCGACAGTGCCTTGCAGATCCACCTGCGCTCCCACACCGGCGAGAGGCCGTTCAAGTGCAACATCTGTGGGAACAGGTTCTCCACCAAGGGGAACCTCAAAGTCCACTTCCAGCGCCACAAAGAGAAATACCCTCATATCCAGATGAACCCCTATCCCGTGCCTGAGCATCTGGACAATATCCCCACGAGCACCGGCATCCCGTACGGCATGTCCGTCCCTCCGGAGAAGCCGGTCACCAGCTGGCTAGACACCAAGCCGGTCCTGCCCACTCTGACCACTTCGGTCGGCCTGCCGTTGCCCCCGACCCTCCCGAGCCTCGCACCCTTCATCAAGACCGAAGAGCCAGCCCCGATCCCCATTGGCCATTCCGCCAGCAGCCCCCCGGGCTCAGTCAAAAGTGACTCCGGGGCCCCCGAGGCGGCCACGCGAAACCCGGGCGGGCTCGCAGAGGAGGCCGAAGGGCCCCCCGCGCTACCCTCCGGTGGCAAAAGTGAGGACGGCACCGTGGCCCCCAGCTCCGCCCCGGCAGCCAGCGGCAGCTCTCTGAGCTCCCCGGCGGTGGCGACGGCCGACGGTGGCCCCGGGAGGGCCACCGCTTTCACCAACCCCTTGTTGCCGCTCATGTCTGAGCAGTTCAAGGCCAAGTTTCCTTTCGGGGGGCTCTTGGACTCGGCCCAGGCATCAGAGACCTCCAAGCTTCAGCAGTTGGTAGAGAACATTGACAAGAAGGCCACTGACCCCAACGAGTGTATCATCTGCCACCGGGTCCTCAGCTGTCAGAGCGCCCTAAAGATGCATTACCGGACGCACACCGGGGAGAGGCCCTTTAAGTGTAAGATCTGCGGCCGGGCGTTCACCACGAAAGGGAACCTCAAAACCCACTATAGCGTCCACCGTGCTATGCCCCCGCTCAGAGTCCAGCATTCCTGCCCCATCTGCCAGAAGAAGTTCACGAACGCCGTGGTCCTGCAGCAGCACATCCGGATGCACATGGGAGGTCAGATCCCCAACACCCCAGTCCCCGACAGCTACCCCGAGTCCATGGAGTCCGACACGGGCTCCTTTGACGAGAAGAATTTCGATGACCTGGACACCTTCTCCGACGAAAACATGGAGGACTGTCCTGAGGGCAGCATCCCCGATACGCCCAAGTCCGCGGACGCGTCCCAGGACAGCTTATCTTCTTCGCCTTTGCCCCTAGAGATGTCAAGCATCGCTGCTTTGGAAAATCAGATGAAGATGATCAGCGCCGGCCTGGCGGAGCAGCTGCAGGCCAGCCTGAAGTCCGTGGAGAACGGCTCCGTCGAGGGGGACGTCCTGACCAACGATTCGTCCTCGGTGGGCGGCGACATGGAGAGCCAGAGTGCGGGCAGCCCGGCCATCTCAGAGTCTACCTCTTCCATGCAGGCTCTGTCCCCGTCCAACAGCACCCAGGAGCTCCGCAAGTCCCCTGGCGCGGAGGAGAAGCCCCAGAGGGCAGTCCCGAGCGAGTTCGCCAACGGCCCGTCCCCCACCCCGGTGAACGGTGGGGCTCTGGATTTGACGTCCAGCCACGCAGAGAAAATCATCAAGGAAGATTCTTTGGGGATCCTCTTCCCTTTCAGAGACCGGGGTAAATTTAAAAATACTGCTTGCGACATTTGTGGCAAAACCTTTGCTTGTCAGAGTGCCTTGGACATTCACTACAGAAGTCATACCAAAGAGAGACCATTTATTTGCACGGTTTGCAATCGCGGCTTTTCCACAAAGGGTAATTTGAAGCAGCACATGTTGACACATCAGATGCGGGACCTACCATCACAGCTCTTTGAGCCCAGCCCCAACCTCGGCCCCAATCAGAACTCGGCGGCGATCCCCGCCAGCTCGTTGTCATCTCTCATCAAGACAGAGGTCAACGGCTTCGTGCACGTCACGCCTCAGGACAGCAAGGACACCTCCACCGGTCACGTCCCCTCTGGGCCTCTGTCCTCCTCTGCCACGTCCCCAGTTCTGCTCCCGGCTCTGCCCAGGAGAACCCCCAAACAGCATTACTGTAACACGTGTGGCAAGACCTTCTCCTCGTCGAGTGCCCTGCAGATTCACGAGCGAACTCACACTGGAGAGAAACCCTTTGCTTGCACTATTTGTGGGAGAGCTTTCACGACAAAAGGCAATCTGAAGGTACCTCACTCTGTCTGTCCCTCACACCCCCCCCCCCCCCCCCCCCCCCCCCCCCCCCCCCCCCCCGCCCCCACCCGCCCAGCCAGCCAGCAGCCCCGATAACCACGCAGGGAGAGGGCGTTCTCGCCGGGGCACCTGCCGCACGTGGCCCACCGCGGCCAGGCGCCCGCGCGGGTCAGGGTCGGGGCAGGTGTCTCGGGGCGGGCCGCAGCCTGCTGGACGTGAGAGCACATTGAATAATTTGGTGCCCCAGCGAAGCAGCTGCCCATCTCTCGCTGTCTCGCTAAGTGCACCAAATGAATTGCCTCACCTACCAAGTGCGACAGCCCGGCGTTGCCATGGGGTATTGATTAAAGACCTCCACGTGGCCCGCGAGCAGCCCGTATCACTTAATAATTACAGTCCTCCTCGGCGGATGCATCTGTTTTTCACAAGTATGCAGCCCAGCGTGGCTTGCTCTCCTAAAAACCATCACGTCACTGCTCGGCTAAATGGGTATTATGATAATTGATTATACATTTCCTCCCGATATGTGTTGGAAATAAAGCAAATATGCTTAGGTTCTAGAGCAACAGTTGAGTGCTCTCACTGTGTACATTTTTTGTTGACAGAGTCTCTCTCTAGAGATCGCTGCCAGTAATGTGAGATGAATAATTACTTTCTGGCTCTTTCTCGCCACGCACGGGCCCTGCGATGGGCAATCTGCGAGGGGTACTTTCTTCCCATCTGCAGAGGACGTTTATAGGGTAAAGGGTGTCAGATACAATACTTACCATTGCAATGAGAGTGGACATAACAATTCTAACCCTGAAAGGAGCTATCTGCGACAGACTGGCCTGCTGGAGGCCATTATAAACTAAATACGGGTAATAAAAAAAGAGTAAGTAAGGCCGGCATCTTTGCCCAGGAAGAGGGAAGGCGGCCCAGGGCTGGGGAGGAGCGAGCGCGTTATTAGGAGGCGGCCGGAGACTTTTACCCTCTCCACTATCTGGCGCTTAATAAGAATAGACATGGAGGCCACTTGCTTTGTCGGGTGTTGGGATATGAGCGGAGACAGATTCAACTATTAAGCTTCTCCCTTCCTCTCTCTCTCTCTCTCTCTCTCTCTCT